CCAGGAACAGACAGAACACATCAAGCAGGGTCTAGTTCATGCTTTAAAACTCAGACGCTGATGCAGGTGCTCTGCTCTTGGCATGTGGAAAGCAGTCAGTGTGTGGCTACGGACCTTGTTTTGGATCCTGACAGCTGCAGGATGCACGGCAGCATGAACATTTCTACTGCATATCCTTCTCTTTGACCTGCTCCCTTCCCGCTGTGTTCGATAATAAAGAGATGCAAGGGTATTAACTCCTGGAAAGCTTCCCTGGGATCAGGTGAAGGCCTGGGTAAAACAGCCAGCATGTTGGGGGACAGGAACGCTGAGCTCTCGTTAAGGGATGCTGACACCTTGTGGGAAACGTTAGTAAATGGTCCCTATACAGACCGCTCTGCTTGCATTCAGCAGACAAGATTTTCAGAGGGATTTAGACACGTGACCTTCCATTAACTGGAGCGTTCAGGTCCTGAGGTCACTTGAGAGACTTCAGTCTCCCCTTGTTCCTCTGACCACTACAGAAAACCAGCATCATTGCAGCTTCAGAGCGTATCCACTTCTGGTGGCGTCCCTCAGCTAAAGGCAGAATCTTCCAAGGTGTCCGAGTTAGGTGATAGTGGCGATCATGGAGGGAAGGAATCGGACTTCGCTTAAAGCTCTTGCTGATCAAATGGGTTCTACAAATAAAGGTTTTCCTCAGGAGGCGTCAGCTGACTTTGACGCACCCCCTGGGCAGAGAGAAAGAACAGTTGGATTTTCTAAAGCATCACGTTATGCTTGGGATGTTCGCTCTGCAATTCGGGCTTAAACGACAGTTTTATGCAGCTCATTAAAAACATGTTGCCTTGAATGTAATCTTTGGTGCTCTCAATTTCTGTATCTTCTACGTCCCAATCAGCCAAAGCCCTCTAGCCCAATGCTACCCTCTGCCCAGTATGATCTGAAGTAAAGGCGTATCCTTCCAGCTGCTCCAGATATACATGCCAAAATACTACATGCCGCCATTCGACAGGATCGCCTCCTCTGGGCTTCTGTGGTACGGTCTGGACAGCCGCTCTCAGACAAGGAAATCCAGTAGAAATAGGTGGGGTTCAGAGACAGTCAACAAAAACCAATTAGAAACCCGGAGATCCTTTCCTATGAAGAGAGGGTGGAGAGGCTGGGGTTGTTTATTTCAGAGGGAGACGAATAAGAGGGGAATGCACCAGAGAAACACAAGGGGCCAGTCAGTAAATTTGAAATGTATCAAATTTAAAACGGGCAAAAGAAATAATCTGCATGAAAAAAAATAGTTAGCCCATGGCACTCACAGCCTGAGGCCAAAAGCTTGATCCAGGACTCAAAGGGTTAGAAAGATTTATATGGATGAGAACATCCACAGACATATTAGTTACTATTTTAAAACACGTTTAGAAAACACAATCCTCAGGCTTCAGGATATAAGACAGTCATTAACTGATAGGGGTCAGGAAGAAACTTCTATGGGTGGACTATTCCATAATTGTCCATGATGAGGTTTCTAGCACCTTTCTGTGAAGTCGCCTGTCAGAGACAGGATACCAGGCTAGAGAGACTGTTGGTATGATCCAGTGTAGCATAGCAATGCCTATCTTCTTAGGCAAAAGACAGTGAACACGGCTGGCAAAAAGTTACCAGATTAGGATAGTTTGCAGACAGTTAATAAAAACTGACCCTCCTCCCAGCTGCTAAAGTTCACACATGCAGTCCCTGTAAAGCAGTGGTGGGCAACCTGCGGCCCGTCAGGGTAAGCGGATTGCAGGCCATGAGACATTTTGCAGCTGTTGACGGTCCACAGGCACGGCCCCGCGCAGCTCCCAGTGGCCGCTGTTTGCTGTTCCCAGGCACTGGGAGCTGCAGGCCACAAGATGTGCTGGCCATCGCTTCCCGCAGCTCCCATTGGCCGGGAACGGTGAACCGCGGCCATTGGGAGCTGCGGGGGGGCTGTGCCTGCGGACATGGACTGTCCACAAAATTTCTCGCAGCCCACAATCCGCTTACCCTGATGGGCCGCCGGTTGCCCACCACTGCTGTGAGTCTGCAGCCGCAGTTCTTGTCCAATAGGCAGAAACTAGAAGTTAGTTTTAGATGCTCTACTTCAATGGAGCCTAACACTGGCAAAGCTTTAACGTCAGTTGCAGGCACTATTTTCAATGCTTCCTGTACAGCTCCCTCTCCCTGAAGGATTCCCACGTTTCCCCGATCCATCCTCCCAGTTGGGGATGTACTGTACCATACTCCTCCTCATCTTCACATGGACTCTGCCATTCATGAAATCAGAAGGGCTGGTTCTGCATTGCAGAGTATGAATTTACTACGCTTTACGGGGAAACGAGAGCCTTTGTCACAAACTGACACCTCCCCTCTCCACGGCGGCTGGCTCTGACAACCTCTCTTATTTGCATGGAAAAGGTGCCCTTTAGCTGTGGCTTTTCGCAGAGGTTAAAAGGAACAAAAACAACAACGGCTGTCGTTCATTTCTACTCCACCTATGCTGACAGTTACCTGGAAGGCGCTCTGCCCACACTTCACACCCTGCCACCCGCCAAAAAAATATCGGTGTGTGAAGTCTGTTATCTAGAAACATTCCCCCACCCACCCCAACCCAAGTGTTTTAATATTTTGTTCATTGACTTCCCCCTCCACCCCAACTGCAGGCAACCTCGAATAACAATGTACATGCAGCGGGGTGAAGAGTTCAGCTTCCCTTTGCAGCTTCCACGAGGTTACACAGAACAGCTTCTACCCCCTGTGACCTGCCGTCCCCTCGCCTCTTGTTTTCTAGCGTGTGCCCCAGCAATGGGAGATCTGGAGGGGAGGCATGCTGGGAAGGCAGAGCAGGGAAAGGATTAGGGCTTAGCACACCGTGTCCTGCAGCACGTGACTCCAGAGTGACAGGTTGGCCACCCCTGGGCTCTAATTGTTCCCTTGTACTCCCCCTGTTTATCTGTCTTACACTCAGAGCGTGAGCGCTTTTGTTCTGTCTTTGTACAGCGCCTGGCACAACAAGGGCCACAACACACAAAATTAACAAGTTTCCCACGTGACACAAGCTATGGCTTCACATAGGGCTTCGACAGAGACCTCACCCACCAACCCATGAGCCAAGTGAGGGGGAAGAACGATGGTTTCTACTTTGACGGTATCTCTACTGTGTGATGCAATCCACCCTAATGATAATGAACCTGTGGGAGGTCTGAGCACTGGGGAGGAGGCGGAAAGATCTAGTCTTGGTGCCCAAGCAGAGCAGACAAGTTCAGAGATGCCCAATATCTTACCGCAATCTTTTTCACCAGAACTGCTGGAGAATGAACACCTGCTCGAGCGTGATGGCAAGACAAGAAGTCAAACAGCAAAGGCAAAGCAGGACTAGTTTTTGGTCCCAAAATAACCAACCAGTCCCTCTGCTCAGAACAGCACAAGAGTCAGAGGGTTTTCCTCCCCAAAGCAAAAGAACCGGGGTTTTGTTGGGCATGCGAACGGGAACGGACAAGACAAAATGTCTTCCACCTGGACAATAAATGTGATCAACTGCCTTGGAGGGGCAGGACTAGAAGCTTTCAGTTCACGCCAGGGCTCAGTCTCTATTTGAGACATTGTTTTTGCAAAAGGAAACAGAAGTTTGGCTGCCAATTGGGGGAGGTGGGGGGGCACATCACACTGGGTAAAACCGGGATATTCACAAGCTACACGTAACTGCTAGGCCACGCAGATAGAGCGCCACTGGGACGCGTGACAAGCTCAATAGCTCGTTTAGCGTTTCTGTGGTGCAAACCCAGTAAGAAAAGCCTGTCCTCCTGCACAATATTAGTCATCTTTTTAAATTGCGCCACTAGCGTTCACCTCTATCGCAGTGTGGGCCCAATCCAAACACAGGGATCTTCGCACTGGGGGGTTGGGGGAGGGGGTTTCTAGTTAAGAGTTAAGTGCTATTCCTCCTCTCCTGGTTTTTCTTCTCCAAGAGGCAAAATCATGCAGGTTTCCCTACTAGCTAAATAAAAATCGGAAAGCTATTCGCCAGTGAGTACTGCAGACACGCTCTCACCCCGTGTGGGGTCTGAGGCTCATTTCCAAAAGCAAACAGACACAACACCTAACTTCGAGATGGGAGGAGCTGCCTGATAAGGTGTCAATTGTGCAAACCGGTTTTCACACCTTCCCGCTTGCCAGTGACTTGGCGTGGCCGATCACCACCCATGCGGTAAGGGCGTGATTAAAAACAAAGTTAACCCCCACGTCGGGGGAAGCTACACCTGAAATCCAAATAATCCCGGCACATGGGAAACAATGAATTGTGCTTCTCCTTCCCCACCCCCGCCCGACGGGGCTCTAAGCCTATTTGAATCGGGGCAGACGCAGTGCAGCCCACAGGTGTTTTTACAGACAATCTGGGGGTGCAGCCGGCAGGGACTGAGTGAGGCAGTAAGATCCACTGATCCTGCTGGAACCTGCAATCTCCAGGGCCCACACCTCCCTACTGGTATCAAAGGAGGCAGTGTTTGCTCTATTTTATACACAGGAACTAGCGCCCTTGCCAGCACGGCCCTTGGCTTTGCCCATCTGGGATTAGAACGGCAAACTCTTCACGTGTGCGTCTTCGTGGGCAGGGACTCATCGGGTTTACGAAGAGCGATGCCGCTTTGTGAGGAAGAGCGTGTGGATGAAGGGAAACACGACAGCCACAGGGAGGAGGTGCACTGGCACGGCATGCAGGCAATGTCACGCTTTGAGCGCCCCGCCTCTGACCATACACTAGACATGGCAGATTGTACTTCAGTTAGCAGGAATGTCTAGATCCGGGCACAGGGACTGCTACTTCACCGGGATGACCCTAGGGACCCTTTCTCTCTTTGTTGTGGTCTCCGGTCAGCCCCAGGAGAGTCTCTCGCCAGCTCCCAAAGTGTTAAAATCCATGAGAGAACCCTGCATTGAGTGGCTGACCCTCTCAGCAGGGGGAGAAGCTCCAAAGGACCCAAGGAAAAGGCCGCTGTGTCTCTTACCTGCCACACTCCCATTCTCTGGGGTCCTGGTCTCGCTCTTGGTTCCTATGTTCACCACTGCTGGGATGCTTCCCTCCCGCTTTCGCCGGAAAGGGGCCATCGCAAGGTGGTTCAGTTTCCGTCACCGACGGGCACTGGCACATCTGGGTCAAGGGGGAGGAGAGAGATGCTGTCAATTCCTTCCACAGAGCATTTGCAAAGAGAGGAGCATTTGCTTTTCCTCGGTATTGATTGCACCCACCAAGAGTTTGGTGACGCTCCGGGGTCTGGCTACATTACATACATTATTTTTCATTCATAAGTTAAACAACATTGGGTAAAATTTTCACCAGTGCCTAGGCTTTTAAGTCCTACTGGTTTTTAAGCCACCTCGGCACAAATGTTGCCCACTGTCTGGTTCTGCAAAAAGGAGACCCGAGACTTGGGGTTTGTCTACATGGGGACTCTCTGGAAAGTGAAGACAAACAAAAGGCGTGAAGTTACAGTTAAAGCATCCTGTGTAGACAGGTTTCAGAGTAGCAGCCATGTTAGTCTGTATCCGCAAAAAGAACAGGCGTACTTGTGGCATCTTAGAGACTAACAAATTTATTAGAGCATAAGCTTTCGTGGACTACAGCCCACTTCTTCGGATGCATACCTGTGTAGACACTCATTCAGAAGTAAAGTGGGCTTAATTCACTTTAGCTTAATCTTCCTTCAATGTCCCCATGTAGACAAGCTCTTGAAAACGTGTGGCGAGCGCCCTGAAGGGCTCAGAGGAGCACAGACCTTCCCAAGTGCCAGCTAAACAGAACTTTTTAACCCTGACACCAGGCACAGTTGTACCCGAAGCCACACGCTGCTAACATTCTGAGCAAGGCCCTTGCTCGTCCTGGAGGGACCTCCAGCCAATGTCATCTCCCCACGTCAGAAGGTTGCGACAGTTTCTCCACCAGAATGTGAAGAAATAAAAGGTTGGGAGAAAGGCCGGTCTCAGGGTTGAGGCTCTGGGCTGGGACTCAGGAGATCTGGGTTTAATTTGCAGCTCTGTCACAGGCTCCCTGGGCAACCTCGGGCAAGCCACTGCCCTTCCTCACCTGTAAAGTGAGGATATTAGTTATTTCTCCCACTTTTTGTCTGTCCGGATTGTGAACTCTTTGGGGAAGAGACGAGTGATGTGTTTCCACAGGGCCTAGCAACGGGAGCCTCTAGACACAAGTGAAATATAAAGTAACAGGAAAAAGAATTTAAACTCCCACAACTCCCCGAGCCCCTCCCACACCCCAAACCTCCCATTCCCAGCCCCAGAGCCCTCACCCCGACTCTCGCCCTGAGCCCCTCCCACACTCCAAATCCCTCATCTGCAGCCACAACCCACAGCCCTCACCCCTGCACCCCCTCCCTCTGCACCTCCTCCCAACCCCAAACTCCCTCCCAGAGCCTGCACCCCAATCCCCCTGCCCCAGCCTAGGGCCTGCACCCCAGACCTCCTCCCTCACCCAAACTCCCTCCCAGAGCCTTGGGCGGGTGGGGGGGCAGAGTTTGGGTGGGGGCGGGTTCCGGGCACCACCAAAATTTCTACAAACCTGTCACCCCTGATCCTGCCCTGCAGACCTGAACTCCCAGCATTCTCAGGACACATGCTGATCCCTACTGGCCACTGCTGATATCCAGCACCTCCCTCCTCTCTTAACCTGTGAGTCCCTCTCTGGATTGGAACTGGACTGGAACCAAAGACCATCTTGGAAGCAACATTACCAGCCCAAGCAGTCAAAAATCATGAGTTGACTCCCCAAAAATCACAGGCTCTACCGCCGCCCCTTCATTCATTCTTCAGCGGCAATTCGGCGGCAAGCCCTTCCCTCTGAGAGGGACTGAGGGACCCGCCGCCAAAGAGCCGGCCCTGGGGGAAGGCGCAATTTTATATTCTTGCCTCGGGTGCAAAAATCCTAGTTACGGCTCTGCCAGACAGGTGATTAAAGGACAGCTGTAGCCACATGGACGTGGGGCTTACCACTGAGAACCGTTTGCAGTTCCCCGGTTACCAGAACGCCAGGCTGAACACTGCCAGACAGGCTGAAATTAACACCAGTTCAGCAGGGTCCTTTTGTAGCCTCCCACCCTTTGCACCTCAGGTGATTAGTGGATATGGGATGGTTCGGTGTAATCAGAGCAGTCAGCACTCCCAGCAGGGCAGGGGCAGCAAAGGTTGGTCTCTTTCCCAACTGAAAGACGTTAGAATGAAAGAAAACGCCAATTGGCTTTACAGTCCTGCTTCACATTTGGTGAATTAACGCCTCATAACAAAGACAACTGCACCCCCCCCCCAAAGTCTGCCAGCAAACAGACCCTGAAAGCCACATGCACAAGCCTCTGCCCCAGGGAATGACCTGGGACTGCCAGGGGCTGAGTGGGGGCCGGGCAATGGCCCAAGGGAGAGGCAGGAGAGCCCTGGCCAAGGGGTGGCTGGGGCAGTGCTGGGGGGAGGGGCTGATGAAGTGGGGAAAGAGTTTCATTTTTTAAATAAAGTTACCAGCTTAATGGCGGGAGCACAGGTGCAAACTCCACGCCCCCCGCCCCCCCATTTGACAGCCAGGTGTGGAAGAGCAGCCTCCCCCCCCCCAAATACCCACACACACAGCTCCAACTTCCAGCCCCTGGGGCCACCTGCTAGCCAGCCAGCAGGAAGCCACTGGACCCCTCCCCCCAGAACCAGCCCCTAGGGAGCCACTGTAGCCCCCGAGCCGCCCCCCCATGCCCCAGAGTCAGTGCACCACCCAGAGCCCACCCCCCCATGCCCCAAACTAGCCCCTAGGGAGCCACTACTGCCCCCCACCTCCCACAGCTACTGCATCACCCAGAGCCCCCCCATAGATCCACCACCGCCCCCCATGCCCCAGACCAGCCCCCAGGGAGCCACTACTGCCCCCACCTCCCACAGCTACTGCACCACCCAGAGCCCCCCCCCCATAGATCCACCACTGCCCCCCACGTCCCAAACCAGCCCCCAGGAAGCCACCGCTGCCGCCCCCCCTAGAGCGTGACCGGCCTGTGTCTCCATCTCCTCCCCGCGAGGGACCGGCCCCACGTGGGCTCAACGGGGACACCGGGTCAGAAACACAGCTGGGGGCGGGGCCACAACAAAACCACGTGACCGGCGGCGAGCCCACCCCAGAAAACGGGGGGAAGCTCCATCCCCGGGGGGAGGCGTTGGAACAGCCCGGGCGGGGCGGGGCGGGGCGTCTGGCGCAGGAGGCTTTAAAGGGGGGCGGGGTCGAGCTTGAAGCATGGGGAGGGAGGGGTTGTGCTGGGGGCTTCTGGGCTGGAGCAAGGCGGGGCGCCCCTGCCCTTGTGGCTTAGGGCACATGCTGGGCTGCAGAGGAAGGCCCAGGCGGGGCAGCACCTTGGGGTACTGGCAGAGCCTGGAGCAGGGAGGATGGGGTGGGGACTGGCATGGCCCCCGGCCCAGCAAGTCACTGTGTGTGGGGGGGGTATCCCTGGGGCTCTGAAACCATGGGCAGCCGGCCCAGCTCTGTGACTTGCAGCAGCTTCCTGTAGTGGCCTGGCTCTGGGCCCCGGGGCCAGCTGTTGTCACCTGAGTGATCTCACTATAACTTGCCCCAGTGGCAGGGTCTGATGCCCGGGAACTAACCCTGTTAGTTTAATGGATTGCAGGGCATGGTGCAGTGGCTAGGGAATTACGTGTGCCGTGATGCAGCGTGGGGCTATAGGGTACTTGGGTCTATGTTTAGAGCATAATTTCCTTAACACTGACAAAGGCTTCACCCCCATGGAAGGGAAAATGCTGCACCCTTGGAGGGCTGACATGAGAAACCATTGTGTATCTGCTTCCCATCCAGTGAGCTATGCTGCTAACACATCTGTGCACAAACTGCCCCTTTTGCCTTGCACGTGAGGCTGGATTTTACCATCTCTAGCCAGCCTGAATATTATTTATTAGTGATATATGGAGTGTTGCACTCACACATGAAGATGCTGCATAACCTAACAGCAACACTGCCAAAGGACCAAGTAACTTGTTTGCAACAGACAAATGGTATAGCTAGGAGGAATAGGGATAGATGTAAGAAAACATACCATCTGGTCTGAATAGCAGTGAAATCTTCCTGCGGTTGTGGTCTGTTAGATTTCCAAATGGGGGTGGCAAAAACACAGCGTCTGGGAACTAGAGTATCTCCGCTTAACCTCTGCACTGCAGCCAGATACTAGAATGTCATATTTGTATAGTAATCTGCAGATTTGACTACAGGGATCCATCACGCATTTGCCAGACAAGATTTAACCTTTATATGTCTTTCATTTCTTGATGAGCAATATAGCACAGAATGTAGCTGACTACGGATAAAAGGGAACCAAAGGATGGTTTTGAACTGAGGCTTGAATGATGGGAGAAGTAGCAGGAGGAGGAGGAGCAGTTATTACTAGTTATTTGTGTTTAAGTAGCACCTGTAATGTGATAGATGCTGGCCATAGTATGTGTCCCAAAGATCTTACAGGTAAGAGCCCCACCAACCTGGGGACAAGATCGCTGGTCCCAGATATTGCAAATAGCCCTGAATGAGAATCAGAACATACGTTAAAAGCAAGAGCATTAAACAGGAGCCTGATTTGGTCGATTCGTAGATGTATTCCTAACCATGTAACTCCCTGCGGCTCAAGAAATCCAACCTGGAGGAAGATGTTTGTTAGCTGCTTGCATGTTGAAGCAACGTCGGACATATCACTGGGGTAGAATAAGGAAGGAGTGTCAGTTGCCCTCCATGGCAATACCAGCTGAGAAAGGGCAGCAGGCGGCCGCGCAAAATATGCTGCATGAGTCTGCAAAATATTTAGCTATCGTTCCAATGCGTATGGCAATCGAGTGAGAACACCTTCCCTTTAGTGCTTTACTGGGGTGAGGGGGGCAGTCCCCCCCCCAATCCAAAGCCCTTTCAACACAAGTGAAAACTGAAGAGCAGGTATATCTGGTCTGACCGGGTGGGCGGTATTGCTTCTCCCTTGTAAAGAAATGAGGCAGCTTTGTAGCAAAAGAGAGGGCTGAGCTGGGCCTTATGAGCCAGGTCATTATCATCTCAAGTTGTAACGAATCCCTGATTCCCACAATGTGGGTACGTGCTTTGTAAGCTACTGTCCACTAGAGGGCAACATTAGACCATCAGATTTATTACATCTTTGAGCGCCTATAACCTTCATCCCAGTAATTAAATGGCAATACATGTACAATGAGTGGAAAGGGAAAATAAGAGGACACCAGCCCAGCATTGTAGTGTGTATCTGTGCTGGGGAGAAGAGCCCAGCTAAGAGATGGGGGAACTGGCGCACACCCTGTAGATCAGCTCTAATTAGACCCAGTAGCGTATTTTCCTGCTTACATGCTGAACACTGCCTAAAAGCTCAGTTTGATGCTTTAACATCCTCCTCTTCCTGCCACAGATTCTATTAAACCCCTTTTTGTTGCTGCTGCTGTTGGGGGTTAGACAATCCCAGAGAAATCCAGAAACAATACGATGCTGGCAAAGGTCAAAGTTTTCTCATTCGAAAACCAGCCTTGGGCCATGTAAGTTGTGGCATCCTCTAAGTACCAACAATGGCAGCTTAAAGTTGTCATGATCCATGTTTAGTCACTTTCCATTACTGTGAACGATAAACAATCTAAGGGGAGAATGGGGCTTTGCATTTCTATAGTGCCTTTCCTCTGAGGATCTCAAAGCACTTTACAGACATTCATGGTGAAGCCTTTGTGATGTGGGTCACCATCATCACCCCATATTACAGGGAGACAAACTAAGGGACAGAGAAAAAGTGACTTGCCGAAGGCTGCACTGTGGCAGGAGCTAGAACAGAACCCAGGCATCCTGGCTCCAAGGTTTCTCCTACTAACGCTGGTGAGCTACCATAGAAGTGAGACGAAAACCCTAGAGTACTGACTCCCACGCCTCTGTTCTAAACACTAGGCAACACGTTCTGGCATCAATCAGGCGCAATCTGCGATTCAGATGGACTCATCTGTTAGTATGTTGTTTTGATAGTATATATGGTGCTGAAAACAATATGCAAATCTGCAAAATTCTATTCTATCTGGCTTCTGATACCAAGCCCATTACCACAGCATCTGCTCGCCTTCCAACGGTGCATTAAATGATGTGACTAGCGTTTGTCTTTCTCTCTCTCTCTCTCTCTCTCCCCATGGGGGGGAAACAGAGTCTGTGTGGTATGTGCTAAGTGTTTATATTAGCAAAGTCAAGTAGAATAACGGTGCCTTGCACGTGCAATGGAAGGTGGTGAGGTTTGAGATGGTGCTTAAATCCCAGGGGAGTTCGTCTCTCAGTCTTGGACTGGCCCAGAGCTCTGAATTTGCATGGACTTTAAACATCATATGCTTTATCCGTGAGGTCATTTCTGAGCCTCTTTTCCTAGTACTCCGTTTAACAGGAAAGAAAGTATTTACGTGACACTTTTGTCATTCAAAAGGAATAAATAAACAGGCTGTCTACCTGCATGCAACCTACATTTTTTGCTCTGATTGTGCTTTGTAGTTTTTCTCATTAACTACCCGTCCCAGTACAAGGAGCAGACCCTTTCTTTGTATCGGAGTGGTTGGCTTTTGATGATACACTCACATGGGCAGTGACATACATCTATAAATCCATATATACATTTCTGGTGTGCCCACACCTCGAATACTGCATGCAGTTCTGGTAACACCACCTGAAAAAGAGAGAGTACAGAGCAAGACAACCAAAATGATTAGGGGTATGGGACAGCCTCCGTATGAGGTGAGATTAAAAAGACTGGGACTGTTCGGTTTGGAAAAGAGATGACTAAGGAAGGCTATGATAGCGGTCTATAAAACCATGACTGGAGTGGAGACAGTGAACAGGGAAGTGTAATTTACCCCTTCACATAACAGAAGAATCAGGGGTTATGAAATTAATGAGTAGCAGGTGTAAAACAAACATAAGGAAGTACTTCACACAATGCAGTCAGCCTGTGGAACTCCTTGCAGGAGATATGAAGGCCAAAAGTATAACTGGGGTCAAAAAAGAACTAGATAAGTTCATGGAGGATGGGTCCGTCGATGGCTATTTGCCAAGAAGGTCAAGGACGCAGCCCCATACTCTGAGTGTCCCTAAACCTCTGACTGCTAGAAGATGGGAGTCGACGACAGGGGATGGATCACTTGATGATTCCCTGTTCTGTT